ATGTACCTCTTTTCTTCCTTCTTATAACTGCTTTAAGTACTGTCTCATCCCCATGGGACGTATGTGGACACTGAGGCTGAGGGTGACCGAGCAGTTGCCTGAGATCTTCATGCTAGTAAGTGACGGGTTTGAGCCCAGGGAGTCTGGCTCTAAAGGGGGGGCTCTTACCCTTTGGGACGAGGACATTACAGAGCTGGGGCAGGTGAGCTAAGGAAGTTCCCTCGGGGAAGCCGAGATCACGAGAGTCCCCGTAGCACTGACATGCGGACTGGAATGAAAGCCGTGCAGAAACTCTGGACCAAGAAGGCAGGAGCAAATACCCAGGGTGCTCCGGGACCTCCTGAGGGTCTACTGAGCACTGTGGGGAATTCTCTGGAAGAGCTGATGGGCCTGGAGCTGCAGAAAGGCTCATCTCGGCACAGACCTGGACGAGGCCCTGGATTATTCAGCACACACTTGCTGAGCCTTTACTCTGTGTCCAGTAGACACTTGCTACTGAGCGGGACATGGGGGTCAGGGGACACGGGTCCTGTTCTCCCATCAAGGCCAAACATGGGGAGAGCACATGGATCTTGAAATGAACATTTACGTGAGTTATCACGTTCGTTTTTCACGACTATATGAGGCGGAGACTAACAGTCACGTTTTATAGGAGAGGAAACTGAGGCACAGAGAGCTTAAGCACCTTGCCTGCAGTCACGGAGCTGAGTGGTGGGGCCAGCATGTAGGCCCGGGCAGGCAGCAGGGCCCCCCCGGATGTAGATTAAGACGACAGCTAAACTTCGAGGCTCTGCTGATTTCCAGCTGTGAGACTGGGGCCAGCAGTCAAGCTCTGTGATCTCTGAATGGGATCAAGATCAAATCAACCTCGGCTTACAGGCTTGTTGTGAGGGTTAAAAATGAGTAATCCAGGGTCCTGACCCACAGGAAGAGCTACAGGGTGTTATTATTATTAATCTCCCCAAAACAACTCTTATTGATTGTTATACCCACCACAAGGACGAGGCTCTTTGGCAAAAGAGGAAGTCACTTGCCTGCGGACAGAGCCGGGATTCAACCCCGCTACTCCTTGGATCTGGCACCAGAATTCAAAGCACCTGCTCTTAACCTTAAGCCTTTCTGCTGGGGAGGTTGAGGGTCAGTACCCTGCCCAGCCCTCTCCTCAACAGCAGGGACGCTCTCTCCCCTCCCCAGAACAGCCCCAGCCCCGTGCAGCTAGGCTGAGATAAACTGAGAATGTGAAGAATTCTTCAAATCCTCTTCCCATTGTGTATGGGCTGGGGTGGCAATGAGGGCGAGCCAGTCTAGGAAGACTGGAGAGTCTTCCAAAAGCCCTAACTGTAAACAGGACCCGCTAACCCCACTCTTGTCTATAGTCCTGCCCCTCAGCTGAGTGAGCCAGGCAGGCCCCCGTCCGCAGTCTGCAGCCTCCACAAATGCATAAACACATAAATCGCGTGGCAGAGCTGGCAAAGCCACAGAAGGACAGGCAGATACAAAGACAAGAGGAGGAGAGGGGGCCCAGCTTGAGACCCCGCCAAGGTGCAGGGAGGAGGTGTGGCTCCGGCAATGGCCACCTACAGGTACAGGGGTGGCTCCCAGAGGTCCAGGGGTGTGGCAGGGGCCAAGGAAGGGGCCTGCCAGGGAGATGGGATGGGGGGCAGGCTATGTTGCAGTAACAGGATTTGGGGAGAGGAGGTGAGAGAGGTGACAGGTGGTGGCCCCAGGGGTCTCGGGCCATCACTCCTTGTGCATGGACAGTGGGTTGGAACCACAGATCTCTGGGAGACACTGGGGCACAGACAGACGCGGTCTCCACACTGTTCTGGGACTAGACTTCTTTCTTGGCAGTGGGAGGAGGTCACACACCCGTCCTTGTCAGCCTTCCTCTCCTGCTGGTAGAGTCGCCCCATATGTGTGAAACTGCTAGGACAGTCATGAGCGTTCCCCTGCGGAGGGGCAGCCGTGTGGGGTGGCGGGGGAGGAGATGGAGCCGGCAGACCAGCTGACAGGGTGTGGAGCCAAGAGCCCTACATTCTACAGAGCTCGGGACCCAGTGGTTCAGGGCCAACGCCTTGCTGCCCACCTGGTTCTTGTTAGGCTCATTAGTAGAGAAACAGCAACAAGCAAACAGCACAGGGCCCAGCTAATTAGTACACAGACCTTCAGTGGGCAAGCCGACTTCAAGTGGGAAAGGCCGACGCCCACTGGCAGTTCCTCCAGGAGAACTGCCAGCCTGCATGCATGGGTCGGGGACGACCGGGGAGCAGCAGGGTCAGAGGGCCTGGGAGGGAAGTCACAGGGGCTGAGGACCCCCAGGGTGGGGTGGGTGTTGGCAGCCCACTGGAGCAGCCCCCTGCTGGGGCATGAGGGTGTACACACACGCTGGTGGTGACAATCTGCAGATTCACCCAACTTTGAGTTTCCAGTGTCGAAACTCCAGCTTGGCGGAGACTAATGCTGGAAAATCACGTGCAAGTTAGGAAGCTGAGAACCTTTGGGGCTGGAGGGCAGGAGCAAGGCCCATGCCCAGACCTCTTGGGCAGCTGGGGAGAAGCCACCCGTCCCCCTGCCTGTCCCCTGCTCCCTGCTCCAGCTTCAGTTCAAACCTCAGAAACACCCTCTGCTGAGCTGGCCAGAACTTTCCAACCCTCCTCCCCACCTCCAACCCCAAATCCATTCCAAGGCCTCCAGAGTCTCCCGAGGCCCTGCTACTTACTCAAAGGGCAGTCCCTGGACCAGCAGCCACAGCAGCATCCCCTGGGAACTTGTTGGGAGCAGACTCCCCAGCCCAGCCCCAGACATACTCAGTCAGAGTCTGCACTTCAATAAGATCCCGGAGGATCAGGGGCATATTCCAATATGACTAGGACCCCCTCCCCCGAGGCAGATCTTCCTATGATGGACCCCAAATTCTGCTCAGTATCTTCAGCTCTGGCTAGAATCACCTACGGTGCTTTAAGAAAATACTAGAGCTTCCGCTGAGCATTAAACTGACTACCCACATCCCTGGCTTTGCTGCCCAGGGCAGTCGCTGGTTTTGAGTCCCAGACCCTCTTCTAATGAAGTGTGGGTCTTAATCGAGTCAGCACTTCTCTGAGCTCACTGCCTTCATCTGTAAAATTATTGGGTGCCCCCAAACTCTTCCTCCGGGCACAGAGGATGTGTTCCCAGAGAGCCCACACTAATCCAGAGTCCTGGAAAAGGAAAGAATTTCCAGGCAGACTATCTCTTTGCTGTTTGTTTCTGAATTGGGGGTTTCAATGTCTTTATCTGGAGATCCTTAGAGAGGTCCAAGATTCTGCCTGAGCATCACTGTTCGACTGGGAGAGAGGTCAAGGCCAAGATAGAACCAAGAGCTTGGCGAGCCAGCAGCCCCACCCCCTCAGGAGTGGAAGCAGCCCCCATTTCGTCCCTGTCTTGTCCCCATCTTGGGAGGCATCAGGACCAGTGACGAGGGCCTCTGTAAGGGCTGCCAACACTGTGAGTTTGGTCGCGAACATAGAAACTGTTCCATTGCTCAGGGCCTTGGTCAGGAAGGGGTGCTGGTGAGTCCAGGCCTTGTGGCCAGGTCCAGGGCCTGCCTAAGGGCAGTGGCAGCTCCAGCAAGGACAGTTTGAGTGAGCTCCTGGGGCTGCCAAGAGCCCAAGAGGCGGCCCTGAGTGTGAGAGAGATCCACAGGGCTTCCTGAAACCACCAGATCTGCCATTACCTAGTGTGGTGGGCATGCCAAACTCCAGAAGTCCCCAGCTTCAGGTGGCACTGGGAGGGAACAAAGTCCCACAGAGAAAAGTACAGGGTCCTGGAGTCACACTGCCTGCATCCAGCCCTCGTGCCAGCATTTGGGGTAGAATATTCTTGAGCACACTTCCCAACTAACTTGGGCCTCGGTTTCCTCATCTGTAAGCGGGATCAAGAAATACTCATGTTATAGGGTTATTGAGAGTCTCAACTAAGATAATGTGTGTAAAGAGCTTAGCACCGTGTTGGCAACACAGTAAATCCTCAGCTATTACCTAGTAGTGTCGTGGTAGTGGCAGCACCAGCAATAGTGGTGGCAGCAGTATCGATCGTGGTAGTACGGTAACCATGGTAGCAGCAGTAATGGTGGTAATGGTACATTGTTACTCCCAGTTCACAGATGTGGAAAGTGAGGCCCAGAAAGTAAGGTACGATATGTGGCAGGAAGCTGTAGTAATTAAGAAAAGGCACTTTGGAGTCAGGTTACCTGAGTTCAAATCGTGCCATGGAGCAAGGGAACCTGTCTGTGCCTCAGTTTCCTCATCTGCCAAATGGACAGTGGAACTACTTGCCCCATGGGATGTAACTGCACCTTGCACAGAGTGGGTGCTGCGTGGTTATTGGCTCTCGTCCTCCTTCCTGCCCCTGACGCCATCAGTGGAAGCTTGGGCGCACAGGCCCTGGCCCCCGCTTGGTTTCCACATAAGGATGACTATCCGCCCGTCCGTCTCATCTGGGCCAGCCCGCCAGCTTCAGAGCAGTCCAAAGAAGGCTGCTCCAGACTCGGATCGGAGCCTCGTCTCACTGTCCTGGCAGGGTGTCTGACCATCCTGGCAAGGCGCCTGACAGAGGCCAGGACCAGAGGGTGCGTTCCCTTAGCACGCACTGTGGGTGGCGCCCCAGAAATGTGCGGTGCAGAGGCCCTGGGGCCAGGCATGCTCTACAGACACAGGGGCGTGTGGACACCGGAGGGACCCTGCAGGCATGGCAGGTGAGGTGCCAACGCAGTAGGGCAGCAGGAAGGGGAGGCAGGAAGCTTTACAAACGTTAAGTGGGGCTTGTATTTCAGAAGTTGTTTCCAGGTGGAGGCATTCTATAATCTCCTTCCTTCCAGGGCCCATTGCCTCTGCTCCAGAGAGGAGCCGCATCCTCAGGAGGGGGACTCTGGATGACACTTCCGCTCCAGGTTCTGGAGTCCCCATGCCCAGCCCACTTCCCAGGGGCCAGAAGGAGACGGTGGATGGGGTGGAGGCACTCACGTTTGATACAGTGGCGGGTGCTGTTTGCCGTGGTCCATCCCGGGCAGCACTTTCCCCCGCAGACATTCCTCCTGTGGAGTCACCGACACAGGGTCAGGTATAAGAACACCCAGAGAGGGACCACTCACAGAGCACCCTCCCACCGAAGGCCCTGCCCCTCTGGGAGAACGCTGTCAGGTGTTCTGGATGAAGACCGTCCAGCTTGTCTAGGGAGGCTGCCTGGCCTGGAGCGGGCACCGTGGGAACCTGCAGATCTGACATTCAGTCCCAACTCTGCCATTCCCTGCCTGACATTGGGAGACCTCAGTCTTTCCATCTGCCCAACACAGAGCCCGCTGGGACAACAATGACAAGGGATCGTGACAATGATCAAAAATCAAGTTCAGAGACGTTCAGTCCCTTGCCAAGGCTAAGCAACCCATGAGAGCCACAGCCAGACTCCAATCCGAGTGGCCCCACCCTAAGTTGTGCTCCAGCTCTCCATTGCCTCTCACCAAAGTCAGCACCACAGCCCTTGCCCAACAAACGCTGACCATCCAAGGGGAGCTGGAAGACACACACAAAACGGTCTCAAGGACACACGTGTGCGTCACCTGCCAACAAATGCACACTGGGAGGAGCCTTAGCTCTCGGGTCAGCTAGTGCACAGTGAGACTGAGCACCAGGCTCTAGAATTTCTATTGAAGACAGGCGTGTGAGGTGGCTAGCTGATAGGAGGGTGGGGCTGGGATCTTGGGGTAAGCTGCCTCTGCATGAGGAGCTCTCCGTTTCAACGTGGGCAGGCTGGCGGAACTCACGTTATGGGATGTAGGCCTGCTCCCAGCGACTCTTTGGTGCTGGCACCAAAGGCGCCCCGAGGAAACGACCTGCGCTAACTGCTGGGGCGCTCACCCTACTCACCCAAACTTTGCTTTTAGGGATCTGCTGAGGCCCCCTGCAGCACCAGCAGGTGTCACCAGCCCTGATTCTTGAACTAAAGACCCAAATGCCTGGCCCTGGGTGACTTCCCTAGAAGGGCTCTTCCTGAGGAAGACCTCTGGGGGGCCTGACTACTTGGCTCAGGCGGGGCCTGGCTCTGGCTCCATGGGTCCCATCATTAGCATCAGAACTGGTCTTCCGAGCACTCACTGGCTTGGGTCGCAGAGGTACAGGGCCAGAGAGTCAGGGCGAAGGACAGAGCAGGGGGCCATCCCTGTGTCCTCTGTGGCCGGCATGGCAAGCATCTGGTCCCACTTAGGGATGTGTTTGACATTTGAGTGGACCCCAAGGCCTGTGTGGTTTTGGAGCCGTATAAAGCATTCAAAATAAATTCCTGCAGCTTGAAAAGTCTGAGACTCATTCCTGGCCCTTTGGTCCAACCTCCCAGGGAGCTCCCAGAATGTCCCCCCAGCCAAGGGCTGTGGCATTCCCGCCACCTCGAAGCCTCTCTGGACCACTGCCTTCAGCAGCTTCCAGGCTCCACAGTGGCCTCATTCCTGCGAGGGCCCAAGCCCTGGGCTCTGGGCAAGGGGCTGGTCCTCATACCCAGGGTTTCTGGATGTGACCCATTTGTAAGTCACTACCCGTTGCGGTGATGACGAGGCTCTTAGAGGCCTGGGAGGTCTTCGGAAGGAAACAAGACTACAGGCCCCAGGCGTTTTCTGAGCATGAGGCCTGTGGAAGCCCAGAGAGCATGGACTGAGGGGCCTGCCTGGGTGGTTGTGGCATGTAGTTTTGCCCGAGGAGGCCCCCTGAGCCAGCTGTCACCTCGGATGACCTTAGAACAGCTTTGCAGCTGACTGCCCATGGTGGAACCCTCAGGGCCATCAGGGCCACAGTGAGGACTGGCCAAGATCAAAGACTGTCAGGTGGTAGAGATGAGGGGAGCAGCTTGGGACTCCAGAAGGATTCAGGTTCCAATGAGGGCGTCTGAGAGTCCTTTTTAGGCCACCTTGGGTAGAGGCCCAGGGAGGTGGCAGGCTGGGAGATGACCATTCAGTGGGCTGTCTCTGGTCAGCTGGAGAGGGCAAATGAGCCCAACTAGCTGGGTTACATGCTCAGTGGTTCTGACGCCCTGAAAGGTACCACATATGGATCATGTGAGTCCAACCTTTCAGGTGACACCAGTCAGCAAACATTAGCCCAGTATGCATCACCATTGTTCAACCCCTGGGGACACTTCTGGTTAACAGCATGGGACAGTTGCTGTTCCACCTGGGACAAACCTGGTCATACTAATCCTTTGTTTAAAATCCCCCATAGCTCTGCATTGGCCTCTACAGAGCTAACCAGGCCCCCACCTGCCTCTGCAATCTAATTATTACCATCAGCCCTCCCTCACCTCCATGACCATCCACAGCCAAGGCTGTGGTCCTCCAAGGGTACCAAATTTCTCGTCTGCCAATTGTACTCTCTTGGGTTGCATTTTTGATGCCTTTGCTCAAGCTGCTTCTGCCTACAATGCCTTCCCTCCCTTTTTTTGAGGATTAAAATCTTTTGCCCTCCAAGACTTCCAAATCAAATGTTACCTCCCCTGACATCTGCCCAGCCTTCCGCATTCCCCATTTCCTGGGATCTTTTAGTGTTAATCAGTCTCAGGGTGTTGGTTGCACCGGTCTCTCCTTAACTACTTTGAGGGTTCTTTCTTAGTTCTTTCTGAGCCTCCAGAGTCTAACTCAGGGCCAGACACCTGCGATGCATTTCATGCATCTTCGTTTCACTTATTCTCGTGTTTCCCAAAAAGTGGATGAGCACCACTGAGGGCAGGGAAGCGGGTTTTAAGTTTCCACAACTACAGCATTCCCCAAAACTGCGTCCCAGGGTGAGAACGGGATCCCCACTGCACTGATCTTTTCAGCCCCATTGGGTCGGTGAAAACAGTCTGCCCGAGGCTGAGCCTGCAGGCCAGTTCCTCCCCCGATGCTGCCGGTCTCCCTTTTCGGAAGGGAGAGCACATGGCAGAGCTGAGCTTCTTGAGATATTGGTGTCTGACTCGAATTTGAGAACATTTTGTTTCGATTTCAATTTTTCTACAGTTATCTTCTCTTCATGACAAGAGGGACTGTTTTCAACTTATGATAGTGATACAAAGTTTCCTAGAAAATGAATTTATTTATGTGGAAAAATGAATCAGGCACTGTTTGGAATAGCAAAAAAAGTAACTCATCTGAATGTCCAAAACCAGAAGGATGGATAAATAAACTGTGGTATGTTCAGACAGTGGAATAATATACAACAGTTCAAATGAATAAACTTGGACTAATTATATTAACGTGGTTAAATCTTAAAAATCTAACGAGGTGGGGGAAAGCAACTTGTGGAACCATAACACAGTATGGCATCACTTATCTATGTTTGAAATATGCAAAACAAATTGTTATTTTATAGATGTGTGCATCTATAGTAATAGTATAAAAACATATGTTGGAATCATAAGTAAAGTTAGGGAGTGGTGGAGGAGAGGAAAGGAGAGATGAAGGCAAATTTATAGAGGAAATTTCAACTACAAAAAGTCAGATGCAAAATATGCCAAAATATTAAGGTTTGCTAAAGCAGGATTATGAGTTATAGTATATCCAATGTCTTTTTGTGTGTTGGTACAAAACTTCATTATACAAAATATTTTAAAATAAATAAAACACAACATCCTGCTATTTTAACAACACATAAATTTAAACAGAAATAATAGATGATGAAAGGGAAAATATGATGAGGGTGCTGTGCCTTGAGGCTAGTTCAAGAAGCTCTGAACATTGGGAAGCAATGGCTTCAGAAGACCCCTGTGGACTGTCAATTCCATTAGTGCAGGACCTGCCTGGGTTCTGGTGTGTTTTGTGCAATAAATCCCCACTGCAGTGCAAGTTCCACGAGGACAAAGGCTGTTTGCCACTGCTGCATCCCCATCATCCATCACAGTGCCTGACATACAGGAGGCCTTTCAAATGCATGTTGAATGAATGAATGAATGGTTGAGTGAATGAATGATTGAATAATCTCCAGTAGTAGTGATGTCATTACAAGCTTCACCAGCAGGTGGCACTTGGTCCTTGGCCCTAAGGAACCTACAAGGCAACTGCTGGAGAGGTTGGCCTGGCCAGGAGCCATTAGCCAGAATGCACCTGAGTAGAGGAAGCCCATTAACAAGATTGCCCCTCAGCCACTCCCCAGCTAACTTGGAGTAGCTGCGTGGAGTATGAGAGGAATTCACCCTTTATTGAAGCTGCAGAAAATAATCTGGGGAAGGAGCCAAACCCAGCCTGTGATAGGATGTATGCACCTGCATACAGCAGGTGTCTGTGGGTGGCACCCAGCCCATGTTCTCACACACCTGTGCACATCTGTCAGCCTTATTGTGGGGACAATCTACTTTGCTCATCAGTACCTCATTTTATGGTTTCTAACAGTGCACGCTCCCACCCTGGCCCTCTGCTACCCCAACTTACTCCTCCCCTGACTAAATACTGGTGGTATAAGCTCCTCCTTGATCTGGCCCAACCCATGCTTCCAGCCTCACCTCCACTCACTGTCCTGCCCCAAGGCCAACGCCAACAGTGAGAGGCCCTTATCTCCCAGCAGCGCTAGGCCCCTAGGCCCCATTCCTGCCACCTCCCCTCTGCTTTCTCCCATGTGGCTCAGTGAGCACCAGGGACTCCAGCTCACAGAGCCTCCTGTCCCTTGAGCTCCTCAGCCACAACTGTCCCATTCCTTTATTCTTAACACGAAGCTTATAGTCCTAGAAAGCACATTCACTGGTACATATCTGTTTACTTCTCCAACTTAGTTACAAGTAATTGAGTTGCTCTTCTGGCCAGAACAGCACCTTTGTCTCTGGGACCCACCCCCTATCCCGTGCCCCTCACACTTGCTCTTAGGAAGCCTGTGTTCACTCGCAAAAATCAGGAGGGGGGAAATCAAGACACGGCAGGTGCTCATGAACAGGTGTTGGCTGACTCCGTGTGTGAACCGCTTGGCGGTGCACCTGTCTACTCTCCGCCTGCATTCAGCTGGGCCTCCGGCGGTGAGCAGGGAGTTCACACACTCATTCAGTGGGCACCTTCCAGCAGGTACTGAATGGCACCGCGCACAAGTGCAGCTCTCCTCTAGGCACTGGCAACCTAGCAATGAGCAAACAGCCTCTGTTTTCATAGGGCCTACATTACCGTGGGCTGGAAGACCCAGCCATAAACACAGAAAGAGAAATATAATGTGTCATGTGGGAGGAAGTGCTATGAAGAAACATAAAGCAGGGTGAAGGGAGAGAGAGGGCGGGGCTGGGGAAGAAGGCCTCTCCGAGCAGAGATCTGAAAGAAGTGAAGGTGTGCAGGAGAGGAGGCTGCAGCCAAGGAAAACGGGCGGTGCAAAGGCCCCAAGGACGTTCTCTGGAACAGAACGAGGGTACGGGTGCCCTTCCTGCTGTGCACCAGAACTAAACCCAGCTGGTAAATCAGGCCCAGGCCAAGAAGGCTGCCAGGTTTCTTCCTAGCCTCCCGGTGGAGCCCCCACCCATCCCTGCATTGCCCAGGGCTCCCCTGCCCTCCATTCGGGAGACACCTGATATACCCAGGCAAGGCAGAGCGCAGGGCAGCCAGGATGATCCTCGACAGAGGAGCCGCCCGGTGCTGCGAGGGCGCCCCCCGGCGGGCAGTGGATGGTGCTTGGGAAGAGAGAAAAGGGAAATCGCACAGTTGGGAAGAGCTTTAGCCTTGCCAAGTGGTTGAGTCGCACTGACACTTAGCTGCGCAGGCGGACACACAGACTACCCCGTGTAACCACCGTGCCCCAGCCGCACGGGGCTCAGGCAAAGTGCTTCTGAGTCAAAGCCTATTCCCACGTCTCACCATGCCTGTACCCAGGCCAACCTGCGCCCAACCCAAACATGTGTCTCCATGTGCAGGTTTCACTGCCAGCCTCCTTCCCAGAGATGCAACTGCCTTCGCGCTCCGGAGCCCCCGGCATCCTCCACCTGCCCGCGCTCTGTACCCCCTCGACCTCCAATGGGTCTGAAGAGCCTGGAACGGCCACCCCGCTGCCCCTCCCGCTCCCTCTGCACCTGGCAGCACAGGTTCGGCTGAGGGCAGGCAAATGCAGAGGATATTAGGAAAGGATTTAACGTCGGGTCTCGGGGAGCTGCACGAAAGGGTGAAGATGGTGTTTCTCTCTCCTCTCAACTTTTTGAAAGTGGGTCAGACCTCCAAGCCCCGGCTCCGTGCCGTTTCCCCGCAGTACTGAGGCCAGAAGGACGATGGACAGAGCCCAGTACCCTCTCTTTTCGCCTGCACATCCCTCCAGCGAGGAGCGCACAGACCCAGCTCTCTTTCCCCCCACCCACTCCCCACCCCCAGCCCCCATGCTTTTCTCTCCAGTGCTCACCCCGTGAGCGGTCTTCGCGGCAGGGTTGGGGGCGCAGCCCCAGGCCGCTGCTGGGTCCCGAAGCGCGAGAGAGCCGGGGCGGCCGGGGCCCGGGGTGCGAACTGCTGCTGGCCCAAGGGACTGCTCCTCCAGGTCTGCGCAGGTGGCCGGACTCGCCGCGGCTGCTGAGCTCGGGGCGGCCTCCTGGCCTCCGTCTCAGTGGACCTCCTGAGGCTCCCCCAGTCGGGCTGGGCCACCTCTGCGGGTGGAGAGCCCTGCTCCCGGAACAAACTGTACACCTTGGCCGCAGCCGCCGCCGGGTGGCTGCTCCCAGGGCGCCACAGCCGACTTGCGTCCCTGTCAGCTGGCTCGTATCTTCCCACTGGGTACCTCTGAGCACGACCTATGCCCACGACGAGAGCCAGAGCGAGCGGCAGAAAGCTCCTCCAGGGGCTCCACAGGGCGCGCTCGGGGCAGGGGGCGGTGGTCCGCGGCCTCATGGCGCGGGGCCACTGGGGAGCGGTGCGTGTGGGGAACAGTCCGGGCAGTCGGGGAGCCCGCCCGCCCGCAGGCTGCGCTCAGGTCTCCTCCGGGTGGCCGGCCTTTCCTGGTCTAGGGAGCCCCGAGTCGGACTGCGGGCCGGGCTCTCCCTGGAGCAAGCGCTCGGCAGCGGAGGGGCCCGGGGCTGCGCGCCCTGCGCCTGAGGTCCGCGCTGGGTCTCCAGCTGGGCGCGCACCGCGGCTGTACCTTCGCGCCTTCTCCTTGTCGCTGTGGCCTTCCGAAGGGGTACTGGAGGATTTTTATTTTTGGAAACCTCTCTGTTTTTTCGTCTCTTTTATCCACACCATGCCCCCTCCTCGGAGGGACAGCTCAGCCCCCTCATTATGGGAGAGGGAGAGAGGAATTCCAGCAACACCCACTTTGGCACCGGGAAGCGGGCGGGCGGCGTGGGGGGTTAACCCGTGAGTAGCTGGGGGTGGCGCGGGGCTGACCCGAGGGCTGATACGGGAGAGGCGGCCTGCCGGAACAGCCGCACCGGAGCCACGTCTCTCCTGCCCCGGGCAAGCTCCAGCTGCTGACCTGTCCCGAGTTTATCTCCCGCCCCGGACCTGGGGACAGACTCTGCATTGGATGACCGAGGCGGCACCCTGGAAGGTCTGAAGGAGGCGGGGCGAGGTACCGAGAACAGCGTGACAGAAACAGGGCCAACCCTGGGGACCAACTCCCTGCCCCTTCGCTTCTAGCCCTGGCCACTAGTGGCGTCCGCGGGGTGCAGGCTAGCCCTGGGACAGCGAGAAGGAATTCTGGAAGGTAGCTTTGTGCGAGAGCGCTCGAAGGTCGCGTGGAAGGGGGCCGCACGCCCTCTGGTGGACTTGGCCTTGTCGTCGGCCATGCTGCAGCTTGCAGAGCGACCTGCCGCCGACGGCGCCTTCGCTCCCAGTTCTCGGACCCTTCCCGTTGCTCCAGTGTCCAGCCTGATGGCGGATCCTGGAAATGGCGTCCTCTTTCACAGAGAGTGGACCTAGAAGATCCCACACTACACAAGGGAATACAGCCTCAACTCCTGACCTTGGCCTACGAAGGCCTTCCTGACTGGCCACTCTATCTAATCAGTCTCCTCTCTTGAAGGGCCACTCACCACTGCACCGCACCTGCACCAGCCTCCTCTCTGCTCCTGAACAAGCAGAGTTAATGCCCACACCCCTGTCCGTGGAACGCTCGTGTTTGCAGGACTAACATGTTTGCAGGACTAACTCTTCATCACTTCTCTCAACTCAAACATCAGCTCCTGGAGTGGCCACCCCAACCCTTCCCCTGCCCCGCCCCCCAATCTAGTGAGAGTAGCCCGCATACTCCTGAGTCCTCACTTCCTAACACATCCACGTGTTTTACTTTCATGGCTCTAGTTACTGGTTGACATCATCTTATTTATTCGTTTGCTTGTATAACTGCTTTACTGGATGGGCTGAACCTGAAGACTCCAGGTTTTAAAGATAATCAGGAAACAGCTATATGTTTCTCCCCTCACTGCCTTCCCCCAAATTATGGTGAATTTCTTTTCCCCGCCCTTAAACTCAACATCTCTGGCTTGCCCTTTCCTATCAGTCACAAGAAAAGTTTCATTTCTATAATTAAGGCCAATTTTCAGGCACTAAAAACATCTGGTCCCATCCAAATCTAATCCTTATCCAATTTAATCAATCGCAAATCCAATTCAACACTCCTTCCTGCTCTCACAAGATAGCCCCTGGGCTCCAGATCTCGTAAAGGAGAGAGTGGACTGCAGTCTGTTTTTCTGACTGTCCTTTCTCTGCAATGGCTTCTCTGTCAGAGTCCGGGGAGAGGTATTAGAGGAAAGGTGACAAAGCCTTGTGTGACAGGTGCCCTTGGCTGTCGGGTGCCACACGTGGACACATTTGTGGATTCTCGGGAGGCTCCCTGCAAGACCTCCACCCTGCACTTCGGTAGCAAAGCATTCCCTGGCTAGCCTCTCGCTGACCCTCTTATCCTCTGCCCCGCATGGACTTTGCCAGCCTTGCCCACAAACCAATGGTGAGTCGGCTGTTCCTCACCCCACTATAAAAGCCACTCCAGCCAGGCTCCACACTCAGAGTTCTCCGGACAGGGAGTGCCCACAAGTCTCTTCATTCATGTGCACCCCCAATTCCTAAAGACATGTGCTGGGTTCTCCCAAGGGCTTTCTTGATGTGCTTTAGTACCTCAGGGTGCTTGCAGCTTCCGACAACTCAACCGGCATCGGGGGAGAGAGAGTTATGGGGAGTCAGGCTAGTTTCCTCTCCTTGAAATCCCCCAATCTCTGTGGTGGGTGCTCTGGGGACTCCCTTCCCTTGGTTTGCACTGGGGAGCACCCTCAGGGGAAGTCTCAGCCCTGCCTGTTCATGCAACAGTTCTTTTCCTCAACACCTCCTTCAGTCCCCTTCAGTTATAGGCTGGTGGTATGGAGGGAAGTGGCTTCAGAGTTGCGGAACCTGTTCTGCTGTTAGTGAAGTGTGTAGTACTTCTCTCTGGAATGTGAGAACCTGTAGTCCTTCTTGTTCTCCCCTTGTGGCTTCAGCAGAGATCCAAGACCACAGGAGAAGTTCTGTTCAATAACTGAAGAAAAAATCATATTGCCTGACTTCCCAAGCCACAGTGACAGCTCTAGGAATTGATGTCCTGTCTTCCTGGCTCACCAGTTTCCCTAGAGCCTAGAACAGTGAGAATAGTGCCCGATTCTCATCGACAGCCACGGAATACGGATTCCATGGACGGCTAACTGAATGAATGACAGAATAATCTCGTGAAGTAGGGAGGGCTGGTAATCATTAGGACCCTTTTTTAAGAGAGAAAAACCGGGTTCCTGGTGGTAGTTGCTGATCCAAGTTCATGTGCTTCCTGCCTCTAGAGATGGGCCTGAGGATCTCCTTGAATTCTCTGCCTTGGGTTTTGGGATGAATGCCATCTTGATTCCCAGAAAGCCCAGCTCCCTCCCGGAGACTTTGCTCCTTCACCGTTCTGGGGAGGCCCGAGCCGCATGCTGCCTCTCCTTTCCCCACTACCCACGCGGTTCTTCAGTTCCCGACTCTCCCTGTCCCCACTACCTGCCAGTTCTTTCAGGAGCTCTCCTCTCCATCCCTCAGCGCTCACCTCAGAGCCCCATGAGACTCCCAAGGCCAGAAACCTTGGCGTCATCTTTGTCCCTGAGTTATTTTTTCCTCCCGTGTGTCCAAGTCATTATTGCTGCTCCGTCTCCTCCGTCTGCGCTTCTGGAAGTCTGCCGCCCATTCAGCCTCTCACTGCTCGGCTGGCCAAAACCTTCAAGCACACACTCTTCCCTCCCTGCTGGGCGCCCCTCCCACTCCTCGGCGAGTACACACGGTCCTTGGAAACTCCCACCCTGTTCTCCGGGGAGCCCACACCCCGACTAATCGGCTCTGCAGCCTGGCATCTCCCGCTCGTCTCGTCCGGTCCTAGCTCTGCCCTCTGACCTGTCTCCCACTCGCTGCCCATCACTCCCTCCCCCCACAACTGTTGGGATCTGTTGATGCAGTTCTTTGGAATCTCCAATCCCATAAACACTTGAGGTTCTTTCCTCTTTTTTTTTTTTTTAAGCTGCCAAAATTTATAGAGTCTACTAAGGTTCAAGCACTGAGTTGAGCAGGCTACATAAACTGACCTGTCAGACCAAATAAAGGTGACATCGTGACTTCTGTCCATACAGGGGAGGAAACTGAGGCTGGGAATAGCTACTGGTTTGCAGAGGTGATGAGCAGCAGATGCAGGACTCAAACTTCGGTCCCTTCCCACCTGAACCCAAGCTTTGACGACTGCGCCTCAGCCTTAGCTGTGGGCTTGTGACTCTGTGGCCCTCCTCACACTGAAGTGGTCTCTTTCCCAACCGGCTGGGCTGCCGTCACCACCTAAGTACCTCGACCACAAGCTCCCCAGTGCCCTCTTCTCTTCCCTTCCCTGGGGGGTGGAGTTGTAAGAAGTCTCCATCCCCCTCTCCCTCCCCTATCCTGTAGAAGGAGTGGGGCTGTTTCCAGCATGGCCCCTGACTCACCACGTGTCACTTCCTGACCTCTGACCCCAGCTTCCTACCTAATGAGGCACAGAATGCCGCTCAGCCTACTCACACATCTCCTGGGGCTCAGGAGAGAAATCACTGCTGGAAAGTCCTGCAGAGAAAGTCCCACGGGGTTGGTGCGAAGATTCCAGCGGGGAAGGTTTGCCAGGACATGTACGCTGTGAGTGGGGATGGTAGCCTGGTGGACACCCAGGGCAACCTAATTGCTTTCCCATGTCTTGCTGGAATAATGCTGGCAGCCAGAAAGCTACCAGAACCTGAACTAATCTGGTAAATACGGACCAAAAGCAAGGACCGTATTTCTGCTCCCTTTGCTGAGACCCAGACTCCTGACAGAATTCCGGGGATTTTTTCTTCCTTGGAAGTGACTGGACCTCCAGCCCTGAATTCCTCTCCCCAGGAGAGCTTGTTCCCCTGCTCAGAACAAATAACACATTTCCTGGTTAATCAGTGGGCAGAGCAGCTAAAGGAAGGTTGATGGGGCCCCAGCTTTCCAGATGGGAGAGGCTCAGGAGCTGGGATATCTTTGTCCAGAAACTGGGCCGCTGAGACCCCTGCACTGTGCAGCCTCAGCCCCCAGGCTGGAAGGTACGGGCTGTATGAAGAGGCCCCAGCTCCCTCCTGCACGAGGTCTTCCAAACCCACCGAAGCTGCCAAGACCACTCCACCTCAGACACCGCGGCCTGGCATGCCCCCCAGAACTGACAGCCACCCTGCCCTGGACCGCTTGTGCTGTCTCCTCCCATGAGCATGAAGTTTCTGTCTTCTGCAAACTGAGCTCAGTGCTTGGCTTCTATTTTCTCATCTGAAGATAGAGATAACGATGCTCTCCTTGCCATCCCCACCCTCAGGGCAAAGTAGATAACAGAGCCTGGTCTGCCCCTTGACAGCAGGGGATCAGTTGCCGGAGGGGGATGCTTCTTTCTCTCTTTGCTTGCTTCCTCTTTTTTTCTCCTTCCCTCCCTTCTTCCTTCCTTTCACCCTCCCTCTCTCTTTCTTTCAAGAAAAGAGGACAGGTGGTTTTTATAGATCTAATGTTTTCAGAATACAGTTTAGAAAACCTGATTTGAACATCTGGGATTCTAGTCCAAACAGACTTTTAATTAGTTACTTGAAAATATGCCACTCAGAAAACTTCATTTTCTTTTGGCCCATGTAAATATGTCTTTAGACTAAAAAAAAACAAAAAAAGCCCCTATTTTTATTATATATTTCCCTTTCTTGATGAACTCTCAGTATGAACTTTAAAAAGTTATTTTTGTGTGACTTGATAATAAAATGAATAAAGCTGTCTTAGACAGCCAGTGGATATTTCTTGAGCGCTTAAAGCACACCAGGCACTGTGCTTAATGTTTTGGAGACATTTTCTCAATGAATCCTAACAACAGTCTTATGAAGGAAGCATTATTATTATTTTTTTTAAAGATTTTATTCATTTCTTTAGAAGGGAATGAAAGGAGAGAGGGAGAGAAACATCAATG